TAAAGCAAACTTTTAAACTGCCTCCTAAATGTCGTAAGCTTGAAAATTTTGTACATAATCCAAAAATACACACTAAATGTACGATTGGTTAATAACATTGATTTTTTGCTTATTAAGCTATTGCATAGATTTGATAGCGGGCTTCGAGCGCGGCGACCGAATCAAGAAATTCCGTAACGAAAATAAATTCCGTTCGACGCATCATCGCGGTCGTCGGTTCAAATCCCGCACTCGTATTTTTTATTTTTTATTAAAGTTTTTTCCTTTTTTTATATATTTGTTTTAGACCCCAGAACAGGTGTGTTCTTATTTTTATTTGTCTCCCTTTTATTTAGACTTTATAATTATAATTTAAATTTTTGGACTAAAGATGGTAAACTGTGGACCTTGTGGAAGTTTTTTGGTGCCGGCAATACTGTTGTTTACTGTGCTTGCCCAATAAAATATCATAAGGGCCTGCCTCGCCATCTATTAATATAAAAAAAAATGGATGCGTGTAACTTATGTACGCGCGTGAGAAGTTATACTTCTTTAGCATCATTAAAAATATTTTTTAATTGCATGCAAATAATTAATAATTACAATAAAATAATAAAAGGACTGGAAAAGGATAGTTAACACAGTCAATTAAGTTCAGTTTTAATTTGAAAAATTAAATAAATATTCAAAATATTCAATTAAAATCACTACTGAATTTAAGTTATTAGTCCATATGTAATTAGCACTTGTAAGTAACTAAAACACGTTGTGTCTTTATAGAAACTAGAAACATGTTGATAAATATTATAAATATGAAAACAGTGATCAGAGGCGACGAGCGTGCCAACATTGTTTTTGACAACGCGATCTTCTTATGGAGCTCCGTGGATCGTTCAAAGTACCTTTCGAACAGATGTCTAATAATGGTGGATTATTAACCACTAAGTGGTTAATAATCCACCATTATTAGACACTAACATTCATAACGCGCCCGCGGCCAACTTCATGGTGTTACTATTGTGTTACAGTGATGCGCGCGCATCTCGAAATTTCACTCACATGATTTTTTCATAACGCGCCCGCGGCCAACTTCATGCTGTTACTTTTGGGTTACAGTGATGCGCGCGCATCTAAAAATTTCACTCTCATCATTTTTTCATAACACGCCTAAAGAAGTATAACTACAAAAATACTGCATAAATAAAATAAAGAAATAATTATAATTGCATAATTTGATAAATAATGCTATGCAAGAGCTTAACCGCGGCAGTCCCCTAAAAACACACATAGCGCATTTTGACTGGAAAAACGTAAAATATTTATACGTTGTAACAAAGTGTAGCCGCGGCGTGCGAGCGTACCCGACTGTATGCAAGTCGGGTAATTGATTACCTGAGTTTCGTATTGCCAAATTAAAAGCGTGTATGACGTAACTATAACTTTATAACATCATAGATAGCCAGTCAAAATGTGGTTCTCGGTAAAGAATCTGGACAGATTCGGTACAGAATCGAACGAAACGAACCCGCTCGACCGGGTGAGGAAGACGCCTTAAGGCCTACGCAGACCGGGACGGCATGGCAAGGGATTTAAATTTTTACTAATAGACATTCAACCGTACTGTTACAGAAATACGACATAAATTGCTATGCTTTAAAATGATGCCGTGGCATAGAAAGGGATTTTATCGCACGGCATTAAAAGATGTGCCACAGGCTCCCGTGGCGGGATGCCATGGCATACTGCGGTAGGCAACGGCATGCCACGGACACCGGCGCTCGCAGTGATATACTGCGGGGTGCGGCGGCGGGGGTAGAGAAGCGGGGAATTCACCCTTAGATTCACTTTCTTTCCATAGATTATCAACCCAAAATCTTCTTCTATCCCTATTATTAGCCTATGCACCTACTTCTTCATCTGCAATAATCGATATCAACACCAAATCCTAATCTACCATTTTAAAACTGAGGCACACCAACATTCGATCAAACGCAACTGAAGACTAAAAGCACGGTAATAATATCATACAGTATTCTATCTTCACACAAACGGTCGGAAAGCGAGTCATACCTACGCCACTCGAGTTCGATGTGCTCTCGGCGGGCACCCAGTCGCGAATGCGCCGCCGCCTATATACAATATTAGTCTATGTGCGCCGCCGCGCCGCAACGACGACCGCACGGTCAGAATTGTTTTTTATGCAGTTAGCCGTGCTTAAACATGCGTTTTGTATTGTAAATATTTGATTTAATTAAGTAGATACCTACATAATTTAGTATGGAAAAGAACAAACGACGATCAATATCGTACAACAGCACAATTGCTGTTTTTGGTTGCTTGAACTCTTCAATAACACACCCAGAGATATCATTTTTTAAATTACCTGAAATATTGGAAAGGTGTCTTACCTTTATAGAATATTTTTTATAAACCTATCTACTAGTACGTTATTTGTTTCTAATATTTAGGTATTTCGGTTTTTCCATCGGAAAAATATCTGGAATAATATATAAATAAGTGGTTAGGATGAAAAAAGAGACAAACGAGTAATCTACCTACACTCGCGTTAAAAACAAAACTACATAAAATACTGTAGGCTGGCGGCCCTACCGCGTGCCAACCTAGCGTTCGGTGTAGACATTTATTTTCAAGGACAGGGCGGAGTCACAATACTGTATAGATAATATTACCGTGCTAAAAGTGTATCGGGCAGCAGTGCCGCGGCACGCCGTGGCATAGTGCTGGTGCAGTGTGCGCTGACTCACGGCCAAATCCCTTGCCATGCCGTCCCGGTCTGCGTTAGCCTTTATATTTGGTCTGTTTAATTTCTTACGTAGCGGGCGTAGCTTACAAATTTACATCAATTTCAAAATATTGTACACAAACCTGTCTAATTTTCGTTAGCAGTTATGATGTCCGTTGGTGTTATAATATCCAATATACCTGTTTTCTTATTTTTGGTCGTAAAAATAGACTTTAGTTCAGGGTAATAACGTGTAATGAGATTAAATTGTATGGGTTTGATAGTTGAACGGCACTGGTGGCGCAGCGGCGGCGCGGCTGTTTCATATCAACAATAAAAATATGAATTGATCAACATATTAAATTATTCAGATACAGCGAGTGGCCTTCTGGACTCGCCGGTTACGATGAACCCGACCTTGGCGCGTCTATTGAAATATTCCGTATTAATATTATGACTCCAAAAGTCAGTCTATCTTTATATAGTGCGCCGGAACTTTTGAAGTGAAAACTTCTTTTTTTTTGTAATGGATAAAAACTGTTAAACTCGTGTCAGGATACGTAGACTGCTCGCATCATGACACGTGGCCTGATCGCGTCCGGACACGTGACCTAATCGAAAATTCGTAAGACGAAAACAATAAAATTGGAAAGGTTGTTGACTTTCAATGTATTGGACGAAACAAAGTAATATTTTATTTTATCGTATTATAATAATAAGTCTCTAAGTAGAACGTCCAGGTGGCAGCTTTATTGCGAAGAAAATGCATATTTTTTACAATAGATGTCGTTAGGTGCGCTTAAATGTGATTCATGTAAGTTGATTTTTCTGAGAGATAAACTTTTTAATGTAATATAAATTTTCATGTTTGAGTGCGATAGCGCTATAAATAAATATTGTATTCTACCACATAAATGATAGTACTTTTATACTGATAATTAAAGCAATTCGTGCAAAATTATTCCCTAACCATTCCAAAATATCAAAAATGCACAACGTTAATAGTCAAGTTTTTACTTCTGCCGGCACTCCCGGAGTGCAACCCGTCGTTCTTTTTTAATTAATAGGGTGGCAAAACAAGTATGTTTTGCCAGCCTGATGTGAAGCGGCCACCGTAGATAAAAAACGCTTATAATACCAAATCAATCGTATAATTCCCGACTCCGAACTCTGGAACTTTACTTACTAGCAGAAACACAATAGGTACTATCAAAAGGAGTGTTATTTTACTGTGGTCTGCTGTGAGGTGGAGATTACTTCCCCAGTCGGTTGGCGCCCCAATTCTAGCGGCACTACACATGGTTATTCGTTTTGCTATATGTTAATTTGAAATCAGTCTCTTCATTTCATTCATTAGAGTTCACAATGAAAATATGATTATACTTTCATTTTTTAAGCATTTGACTGCTATATGTTTAAATTTAAAGAAATGTTTACATAAAATCTACTCGAGAAATTAAATATTTTCTTTATCCTATATCTTGTGTGCGTATGTGCTTCATGAATGTATACTTTTACATTACGTTACTGATCAGGGTGTACCGGAACTAAGATACTGATAAAATGATAAACTTGATAACTTTATAATAAACTATATTTTGGTAACTAAACAATAACTTAAAACAATACTAATTGCATGGACGTTTATACGTCCTTGACTAATTGATATAAAAATGATTGTTATGAATGAGTACGCGCACGGCTTAGGTACTTGATAGGTAATTGCGAACTGACATGTAAGTAATTAACGATTATTGAAAATAATAAAATAAGGTCAATTAGTAAAATGATGAACGGGCGAAATGTACGTAGCTTGCTCGTACAGTTACATACATATTTGACTCGATTTTCAAACGGGAAAATTTTATGTATGATTCGTTATTTTTTTAAGTATTTCTCTTGTTTTGGTAGTTTAAATTATTCAGATAATATGCTTCAGAACTATCACAAACTTTTAAGCAAATCATAAACATTGAAACCTGTACCCCTAGCACGAACCAATATCGAATTCGTATCGTTTGCGAGTCCGAAATGTCATTGTCAAATGTATACTGATTTTTAGTTCTCGTTACGTACTTTGAGCCGCTGCGGTTCGAGTTTCCATACAAAAATTGACATTGACATTTCGATTTGCAAACTATTCGAATTCGATATTGGTTCGTTCTAGGGGTACTGAAATTGGCTAAGCGCTATGTAATTTATCTTAATTTAAGAATTGATTGTAATAAGCTGCTAATAAATAAATATTTATTTATTAATCAATTCCTCTTCCTTTCAGCGGAAGATGAGTAGTGTGGAGGCGAGCGTGGAGCCGCCGGCATCGGTCCTCAGCCCGCCCGAGGAGACCCCTGGGGCTCAGGGCCCGGACGGCGCGGGGCCCTTGATCCCCGTGCCCGCGGCGCCCCGCAAGCCGCCCCGACGCGGCCCCAAGGTCCAGCAGGAGCGTCCCAAGCGGGCCCTGTTCTGCCTCACGCTCAAGAATCCGCTGCGGAAGATCTGCATCGACATAGTGGAGTGGAAGTATCCTTTGCAAATGCTGTGATACACTGTAAAGCCTTGTGGGCGGGGAGGAGCGCCACATGTAAGCAAATACTCATAACTTGATTCTGATTGCGTCGTTGCTGTCGCGTGTGAACGCTGATTGGTTAGATTGTTTGATGTCGCATCGTTTCATTGGCTATTATCGATTAGGTGGAAGTGTAGTGGGGGCGAGCCGGCGACATCAGTTCTCGTACAAACAGTCTATGATCACCCTTTCTAACCTCATTCCGTGTATTGTGCACTAAGCGCTGCGTAACGAGCAAGAACCATATTTAATTATAAATTTAGCAAACCTGTAATCTACCTACTTAAGGCTCTTGTCCGAGTGAAAGTAAAATAAAAAAAAATCTGGAAAAAAAATCCACGCGGACCAAGCAGTAGACGGGACTCGAACCCGCACCCTTGGCTATCCGAGCAAATGCACTGACTGATTATGCTACCGCATATAATATACAATCATCATCATCATCAACAGCCTATCCTAGTCCACTGCTGGACATAGGCCTCTCCAATTGCACGCCCCTCAGATCGATCTTGGGCTACTCGCATCCAGCTCCTGCCAGCCACCTTGCGCAAATCGTCACTCCATCGTGCCTGAGGACGTCCTACACTACGTTTGCCTAGACACGGTCTCCACTCCAGAACTCGTCTGCCCCAATGGTTATCGGTTCTTCGGCAAATATGGCCAGCCCACTGCCACTGCAACTTGCTAATATACAATGGCCAGTACAAAAAAAATGTGTGTGTCAGCTCCGACGCACGACCGGAGTTTACACTCTAAAAACGATTGTCTTTAAACAGACACAAAACAAAATCAAGTCCGAAGAAGTCGGTTACAAGTGGAGATACCTCAGGAATCGTCTCATGGTTTCAACTGTCATAGGTTCCATGTCACACATTTTATCATCTAACATCAGCGATATTCATCATATATTTTATTATGCATTTCTGGAAACACACAATTTCAAAAATATCACACACTAGTCATCATTTTGTAAATATGTATTATAATTCCATCTGTACTGAAAATCACTATTCCAGAGTGCTGGACACTTACCGGCATTTCTCTGTATTTATTTTTTTATTTTATTGACATTTGTGACAACTTAATGTTTTTTATCCGTTGCCATGGCTAAAAGTGAAAGGTGTGCAGATGAGGTTGCGCACAAAAACGTAACGAGGTCATTAATGTCATTCATCGACAGATTTGACTCCTCACATTTTTCTCATACCGGACCCCTTATATATGCAAATCGATTCTTAAGGAGTAAACTCAAAAAGTTGCTCGAACCTAAAGAAATCACAAAGGCGGAAGCTAAGCTTTCTAAAAAAGACATGAAACGTATGAAACATAATATTTGAATAACCCAAAATAAGTGTGAAAGTACAGCATTTATTTTGAATCATCAATGTGGATATTTACACTGTGTGTGCAGCGGATTGAACTCTACCTGGCTTGCCGCCAAACTAACTTCCGCGGAGCGCGGGATGTATTCATTCACCGAGTTCCGCATACATCTGTATGAATTAACGTTGAAAGAATTTCTCGTTTTCCGTCACCGCTTGTTAGCGTGGCGTTAAAATAATATGACTGTGAATCATCTTTTTTCTCGAAATTATAAGTAACTTCAATGAATAGCAATGAAAACGGGTTGGTCAAATCTTTGTATGTGGTTTTCGTGTTCTGTGATTTGAACTTAAATTAAAAATGTTTTGAAGTATGCAACCTTTTTAAGGCAGCTATCTTATCGACTGTTTTCTCGCTCAAAAAACTTAACTACAATAGATATGTTCCATGTCAACAATAAAGATGCATATCATCGTCAGCCTATTAATGTCCCCACTGCTGGGGCACAGGCCTTCCCTATAGATGGAATAGGGAGATTGGGCCATGACCCACCACGCGGGCCCAGTGCGGATTAGTGGGTGCTAACGGCTGCAGATGCAGCCAGGACCAACGTGCCTTCCGAAGCACGGGGGAGCTCGAGATAGTAAATTTTTGGTCACCCATCCAATGACCGACCACTGCGACAGTTGCTTAACTTCAACGATCGCAGCCGAACGCGCTAACCACCTGCCCCATCGAGCTCCTCAAAAGATGCAAATAATAAAGCATAATGGTCAGTGCATTCGCCCGGAGAGCGAAGGGTTCGAGTCCCGTCTGCTGGCTGGCCCGCGTGGAATATTATCTTGTAATATTTTCTTATTAGATTTAAACATCGAGCTGTTACATGCTTATTTTTTTTTTTAAATTTATTTGTAGAACCACTAACAAGTTTACAATCATATTTGCTTATACATATAATCTAAAGAGTTATTGGTTATTGCAAACCCAACATTGATTTTTTCATTTTCATTTTACATTGTTTTTCATTACAGTGACAACAATTTAACATAATATGTTTTACATTTATAGTTTATGCATAAAGTAAGTAACTTATTTTACTAATGGTTAATGGATAGGCTTTGCTTTTCAGAGTTATTATTAAAAAGGAATTGTTAACGGTTATAGCATGTTAGTATATAAAAATAAAATATATAACTAAGATGCATATATTAATAGTTGATCTCTGTTGACACTGCCATAAAGAAATGCCTCTACTAGTTTGTCGCTGAGTGACAAGAGCTCAGTGGCGGATTTACAAATTTGCCGCTAATAGGCTATTAAATTTTTGCCGCCCCTACTGACCTTTGAAATTCAATACGCTAGTTCGCAATTATATTTATTCTGAAATTGCAACTTTATGATTTATGTTCTATCGTCCACATTACGTACGGGCTTTTCCCCGTTAGTTTAAAAAAATATTACTAAATTTAAATTGTAATTAATATTGAAACGCTATTGGAATATTTTAAAAATTCATGATCGCATAAGTACCTATATTTTACAGTGGGTTTAGTAATCTTTTATACAGGGTGTTACAAAAATACAAATAAAGCTTGAAGGGCGTTGAAGTTAATCATATAAGGAGTCTGTATACGGATTACTAAAATATTAAAAATTTTGTCACTCGTTTTTCTGGTATATTTTGGGCCAAATTTGCCGCAGCCTAAAATCTGCCGCCCTAGGCTCCAGCCTACTGAGCCTACTGGTAAATCCGCCACTGCAAGAGCTATCAAAGATAAGACTCGCTCAGAGATACTCGCTTGTCAGGCAGAACGCGCGCGCCTGCTATTAGCTCAGAACAGTCTCCACGTTAGAGTGGCGCGAGTAATGGCCCGTCGTACTTGCACACTCGCTTATAGCCAAGCGACAAAACTATGAGAACTACACACTCGCTTGCTATCGATAGTCGACTCGTTTCTATTTTCTAGCTCTTCTCGCTTCTCGATCATCGACGGCGGTGGTATGTCTTTCACGTAAAAATCTCCATAGAAATCATTGTGAATGACTTCTGAATTTCATAATTCATTGCTCTCGCGTGTATTTGGTGCCAATGCGCATAACTTCATCAGCGTAGGTAGAATATTCTTGTGTCATCAAACTTTCATGCCCTAATAGGGTATTTGACAGTATTAAAAATAAAGTGTCAATTGTTAGCGTCTGTGTTTAGAATGAATATTGGCAGGGGTTTTTACTATTTTTACAAAAAACACATAATTTTACTAAAAACCCACAAAAAGATAATAGTTTTCTTATCTATTGTCACGTGACCCAAAACGCTTGGGATTGGCGGAGCCTAAAATGACGTCACACGCAAGTAAACTTCCGGTTAAAGTGACATTACATTGTATCGTTTGACGTTCTAATAACAGTCGTGTGACGTCACTAGTGAGTGACGTCACACGACTGTTATTAGAACGTCATACTAGTGAGTAAGACGCCATATTGTCCAGAGAAACGTTTTCGCGGCAACTTGAAAATGGAGTTTTTGATTTGGTTATTTTTACTGAAATACACAACAGAATGATTTATATCTACTTTTTACGGACTCCATAAATATTAGTCAATAAAGTAAGATCGTTTTCTAAAACTTGTCAAATACCCTATTCATTTCTGTCAAGTTACTCGCATATCATTGCGCCAGAAAGTAGCATAATTCTTTTTCTCTGTACTTAACACTCATCACATTCGATTTATAAGTGAAAACGTTACAAACAGAGTAACGTTCAAAACATTGTTACCTAGTATGGATTCATCGCTTACCATATGAAGCAAAAAAATTTTAAATACAAAATATATTACTAGAGAAAATTCCACGCAGGCCAGGCAGCAGACGGGTCTCGAACCCGCAGCCTTCGCTATCCGGGCAAATGCACTGACCAATTATTATGCTACCGCGGCCCTGATGGCCGTGTCGAATTCTTTCTAGCATTTCTTAAGCTGCAAGGTAGCGCCATCTCTTCGCATTGTAGGTAACCCACAATGTCAAATGAATACCTTCACAGGTATTAAACATTTGGAAGATGAAATAGCAATTATAGTTATTATTTTTTCTAGTAATATATTCTTTAGATTTAAACATTTTTTAATCACACTAATATTATAAAGGCGAAAGTTTGTGAGTTGTTACTTCTTCACGTCTAAACGGCTGGAGCAATTTTAATAAAATTTGGTATATAGTCATCTGACACCCTGGATAAACACATAGACCACGTTTAACTGCGGAAAAATATCTTATTCCCATGGGAAAAACACAATTTATTTTCTTTAATAAATCGCGGGTAACACCGCGGGGCACAGCTAGTTTAAAATATTCAGCCTTGAATATTTAAATAATGCCGTGCCATCTTTTGGGATTTACTCAAAGTTTTGTGCACTTCTGTTTTCACGCCACCCTTCGCTTCCTGTCACGAACCATAAACTTTAGGGTAAATACACCCCTGGGTGTACTATAGAGAAGTTTGCAAAATATATATATATATATATATATATATGTGTGTAATTCTCCTCTTGATGTATGTTTTTGTACCCAGATGCATAAAAGTTTTCGCTTTGAACAACAACCTAAGTGGAGATTTTAAAATGGTTGAAAGCT